CAACAAAGGTGTAACAACAGCTGGCAGACTAAGTCATAACATCCCCTCACAGTTGCAGACTGCACACCCAGCTCGGTACTGGTAACAAGTACGATTCTCTCTCTCTCTCTCTCTCGCTCTCTTTTTCTCGGTGACCCGGCATAAGGATGAAGGCATCCGCCGCTGTGCACCGGATATGATGGCCACTGGTGAGCACGGAAGCCAAAGCAACAAACCTACCGAAACAGCAACACTACAATACCTGCTCTTCCTGCAATTGCGGCAGAAGGCGGTCATTGGACATCCATTACACATTTCCCTCTCTCTCTCTCTCACAGCCGCCTGTCAGGTCCCGCGAACCTCCTTCCCACAACCCTAACCCCTAAACCCTTCAAGTCATTTACTCCAACGGCAGCCTCCGGAGCCACAAGCGACTACTGAGTCTTTGCTGTGCATTGCCTGAAAAGCCTAGAAGGGGGATGGGGGCCTCTTCAAGGCTTCCTGACCGCGCCCACTCCACAAATGCAGAAGGCCAGGCACGGAGCATTCGGTCCCGGCCGTGCCCGAGCAACCCCACACTGCAAACGATTTTACCTGATAACCCAAATCGCCATGAGAACCAAAACCATGGTCATGTCATAGAAAATAAAAAACCCTAAACCCGCAACGGTCGAGACTAGCGCTAGCAGTGGCAGGGGCGCGCGGGGGCTTTCAGGACCAGCACGCCGCTTTGAGGCACCTTCCACCCTTTTACCTGGAACCCAGTTCTCCATGCTTCAAATTACAAAGCATTGAGCCCACCTTGGCTGAATGCTTCGCAGTTCGATTCCAGCATGAAAGCAGCTCGAACCTGGGCCGGCTGAGCAGTAGTCAGAGCAGAATTAACAAGACTTGCAATGAGAATGGTACTGAAAATCATAACACTGACAGTAGCAACAAAAATGCGAAAAAGAAGAATAACAGTAAACTGTCATGGTGAGAAGGATGAAAATCAACAAGATGGCAGAAAGACCAAATTACGACACTCATAGCAATTGCGATTCTTTTGACAGGCTTGCGCAACCACCCCTCGCTCTGCCATGTTTTTTGCCAGAGCCACTCGTAGTCAAAGTCATCCTTGGTGCGCCACAGTACCCCTTAACATTAGGAATGGCACCCCTGTTCCCGTGGTTTGGTTTTTTGCCATGAAACCCCAACAGTAAATCCTACTATTGTAAAACCCTTCTAACACCTTGGAAGCCTTGTAAACACCATACTACCAAAGAAAAGGACAATAGGCTGCGAAAATGGGGGGCCTAGAAACCCTGTGAAACTCTACGCATGAGAAACAGCTTAGCAACTTATTGCTATAAACCCCAATAACGAACCTAGAGCCCCCGTAAGCCCTCGACATAAGTCTTGAAACCAAACAGCAGCACTCCTAGAAGCAAACGTGAAAAACAAAAAAACAAAAACAACCTACAACGGGGCCTAGCATCCGTCAGGGGCTCGCAGCCCGGGCCTTCCAGGCCAAGGCTTTGCCGCGAGTCCCCTCGGAAGAAAGGCGTGGAGAAGAAGGACGCCACGGATCCCTGGCAGAGAAAGCCGGTTTTGGGGCTTGAAATATAGAGGGGTTAGGGGTTCCTGGCGGTGTTAGCTGGGGATTTTGGGCCTTAGGGGTTTAAGCCACTGCGGAGTTCTGGCAAAGAGAGCCTGTCGTGGGTTTAAAGTCTAGGTCTTGGGGATTTACGCTCTCGCAACTTCAAGTTTTGGGGAATTAAGCAGGCTGGGCTCCAAAGAAAGGCTCCAGGTCCCTCCGACGTGACTTCACCCTGCTCGGGACCCAGCACTTCAAACATGGCCCCTGTCGAACTGCTCATTTTCGAAGCTGAGCTTGATCTAGATTTGGGCTTCGTGGGCGTTGCGCCCAATTGGTAAGGGGAGGAAGACAGAAGAGACCATCAAACAACTCGACAAGCTGCAAGAGGACAGCTCATCCCTCCTACGTTGCAACTTCAGCCCTTCCTGGAAGCTCTCGCATGGCACTCCCTGCGGCTCTGCAGCCGAGGTGCGGCAGCATCTGAGTTGCGGCGAGAGCGGCCAATTGGAAATCTCACGTGCTGCGGGAGGGTCGGCGCCTCCTGATTCGTGCGAGAAGGACATTGCAAGGGATCCACGGCGATCCCTAAACCCTCAATCCCTCAACCCCTAAGCCCCCAAACCCTTTCTTGAACCCAAGCCCCTAAACCCTAAAGCCCCTAAAGCCCCTAAAGCCCCCAAACCCTAAACCCGGCATGCCCAAACTCCTCGGGGTCCGCCGCCTCCCTCGTGCCCGCGGGCCGTGCTTCCGCAGGAGCCTCCTTCCAGCTCAGTGCGCTCCAAGCTTTCGACTTTGGAGTCCCAGCTTGAGGGTTTAGGGTTTAGGGTTTCAGCAATCACTCTCGGGGGGTTTAGGGTTTAGGGTTTAGGGGGTTCGGGATAATTTCAGGTTTAAGTTTAAGGTTCGAGGGGCTCAGGAGTTTGGCTCTGTTGCCTCCCATCCCACTCGGCCTATGCCCAACACGCAGCGTGCAAAAGGCATCCTCTGTTGTGGGTTTCAGAGCTGCGGGTACAAAAACCGCGTGTCGCACTGCCAGCTTCCAAGGTGGCTACGGACTGCAGCGATCAGAACTGGTACTAATCTTACAAATAGCAAATAAGGAATAATGGCCTTAACAATACTAGTTACTAGTCGTACTACGAGTAGCGCTAGTCGTAGTAGTCGTAGTAGTCGCAAGTAGTAGTAGTAGTAGTAGTAGTAGAAGTAGAAGTAGAAGTAGTAGTAGTAGTAGTAGTCGTCGTCGTCGTCGTAGTAGTCGTCGTAGTAGTCGTCGTAGGGGTAGTGGTAGTGGTAGTCGTAGTGGTAGTGGTAGTCGTAGTGGTAGTGGTAGTGGTAGTCGTCGTCGTCGTCGTCATGTGGAGCCCCATCCACTGGCCCTACAGTTAAACCATTTGGCAGTCGGGCCTCTTGAAAACCTGCCGGACCAAGGCTTTCACACATCTCCAGAGGCAATGGTGCTCAACACAACTCGATGTAGTGAGGGTTAAAGGACGGACCCGGAAAATAAGCAGTAAGCACCCCTATCCGCAGAGCTCTCGATCCCCCAACCCTGCTTTTGCTCAGCAGCTCTCTGCGAAAGATTACATGCTGTGCCCCTTTCCATGTTCTGTCATGGTTGTGGCATCCTGGTCTTCGTCCGATTTTGAAGCATCTTTGTCCTCCTGCCCAACCACTTCCTCGGACGATTGCTGCGATAGAGCAATAGAGTACGAGGAAGCAGCCTCTTCCAGACCTACAACCAGAAATATCAAAGGACTCCCCAGTCCATGCAAGAAGCCGCTCGCAATATCTTCGAAGATCTGCATGGCGAACTGATGCTAGAAGACATCTGAGAGACAGAATTTTCGGACACACGGTCCAGGTGGTGGTCCTGCAGCACAGTGGACACCAAGAGCCGAACACAAGACTGACGCACTTCCAGTGTCCTTGAACGTGTCCGTCTTCGAGGGAAGTGGCAGCCAGCCCTGCACAACTGGTACACTCACCTGCAGTCCGAGCCACTCCAACTCTTGCTGATGATGGCAATGATGGTACCAGTAATGGTGAGTCTCCGCTCCTGGCCTATGAACCATCTGATGAAAAAGCTCCGAAAAAGCAGGCTTTCGCTGCATTACCTCTCACCCGCGAAGCACCGTCAAACTCTAGGACCCCCACATCCGGAGTGCGTCCCGACGTCTCGCCGCTCACAGTCGCGCTATGAGGAACCTGGAAGTCGGGGGCACATGAAACTCTTCAGGAAGCAGTACTTAAACATAAGGCAAAACCATGGATAATGCAGTGTAAGCTAGCAGTTAGTATGGCATGCGGCATGCTACTACGATGCAGTGTACTTGAACCCAAACCACCACTCTGTTGCACTATGTTGCCGAATGCTGTGACTGACTCTGACAGGTCAGGCCAGGAGCGGCGAAATCCGACTTCCGGCGGGACCTTCCAGGGGATTGGCTTGGTTGCAAATAAGCAATCTGCTGTGTCACAAAACCCCAGGCACACAGGGGTGCTCAGCATACTTCTTCTTCTTCGTCTCAGCCCCCTGACTTGAGGCAACGAAAGTTCGACATAGAGCTTACGAAACTATACTCTTGGTCGCCCCCATCCCATCTTGAAACGCGCATGGTTTGAGCTCAACAAACTTGCTTGCTTGGGGTCTGAGCTCCCGGGAGAGCCCTGGCCCGAGGGCCTACCCCTGAGGCACGCGTCTGTGTGTCGGCAGGGCCCCTTTCGGGGTGAGTGTCATCCACATTCCCCCGGATGTGCCTTGAAACCCTCGACACCCCAAAGCACCCCTCCGAAGCTCAACATACTCTTTCTTTCTTTCGTCAGGATTTGGGGCTAAGGGTTTCCCCCTAGCCCGCGCGCGGTTGCGCCCCCGACCGGGAGAGAAAACAACTGCACCACCAAGGCAACTACGCCTGTCGACAAGCTCGCACCAAAAAAGGGTAATATACTTTCTTTCGCCAGGGTTAGGGCAATATAATCTCTCTCTCTCTCTCTCTTCCCCTCCCCTGTGCCCTGACTTCATCACGAGGAAATTTCCGTTCTGCTGCTTGTTACTTGTGACACATCTTCCCGTCAGAGCTTCAGTTTTTTGGCTTTGCAACATCAATTCATGTGCGCAGAGCACGAGCACCGCAGCATAAGCCCTAAATGGTAGGACGGAATGAACAGCACAACCCGAAGACCGAGCACAGTTCCCTACCCTCCTATGACGAGTCACTGGTGTGAAACTCGGTCGGCCTCGGAATAATCCCGAGGTCGGCCAGGATTCCAGAGCCTAGGGCAGGGCTGGGAGAGGTTGGGGAGGAGACTGATAGTAGATGTTGGCACTCCTGACGATTTGTTTCGTGGCTCCTCTACCCTGCACCCCTACGGCCTATTCTACCACACTTCATGGAGCCGTAGTTCCATGTGGCCTTGTTCGCCCTGATGTCCCATGATGGTGCGCGGCGATAGCTTCAAGCTGCCGCCGTGGGCCCTCCTGAAGCTGCGTTTAGCTTGTACAATAGTACACGCCGGTGGATGACAGCATGGTGTCACAGTGCCCGTGATTCAAGAAGCACTTCAAACTCTCTTTCCATCTAGATGAAATACGTGCATGAAGGTCTGTCCGTCTGTCCATTCGTCCGTCTGACGACCTGTACTTAGAACGCATAGGGCGACAGGCAGATAGATGGACAAATTCATGCAGGTATCGGGCTACCTTTTCTTGTGCCTGACTGAATCATCTTACGGCTCAGTTTCAGGTCGATCCAGAACCGATCGAGCATCTGCTAGAAACCGTCCTCACGATGGTTGGGGACTGTTGGGGCGTGGGTCCCGGCATCGCAAGCCGGGGATTGGGGCTTAGGCAGGGTGCCCGCACCGCAACCTCTCAATCTCAGGTCTCAAGGTTGCAATAGCTCTGAGGCCCCAAAGCCCTCCAAAGGGTTGGATTGGGATGTGGCCAACGCACAACGGAGTTCGAGCGCAGACGCCCTGCGCGACCTGCAAGAAGCCCAGACCCGCACGGCCTTGACATTCTTCGAAGTGGCCGCGGCTCCGGCAGGACCTGACCAATACTACTGCTGCTGCTGCTGCT